AAGAGGGGTGGGTGTTCGCTTCCATAAAAGACAGATCTGAAAGTGCACAGGGTACTTGTGGGAAGGGGCAGGTCCAGCATGTGGTTGGGGTTTTGTGGGTGGGTGAAGACAACAGGGAGTAAGACAGCAGCCCTGGGGGACAGATGTTTCCTGAAAAAACTGGACATGGGGACTGACCTCGTAAGTCCAGAGATGCCTGGTGGGCGGTTACAGTCTCTGCTGTCTCTTGGATTTGGCACAAGTCAGGTTGGGGTATGTGGATAGAGTGGGCTCAACCACCTGACACCATGTGCCCAACGCTAGAATGCTTCTGGTCTGAGGGAGGTGGGCCCCTCTCAGGGCGCCCCTGTAATGCTCAGTTGTCTCATCTGTAGGCTGGGGCTGTCCTGGGTTCCTTCCTGATGTGGTTGTCAGATGCAGCCGCAAGAGGCACGGAGCAGAGGCTCAGGAAAACCAAGGCCGTTATAGTCGTGGGTCCTAGAGACGGAAGGCACGCCAGGCCACCCCATGCTGGGCCCCCCGGGGAAGCACTAGGGTCAGGAGGCAGGGGAAGCCTTAGGCCACAGCCTTTGTTGGGGTTTCCATGGGAAAAGCAGGCAGGACAGGGCGAATGATTCAGGACTGGCGACTTTGAGCAGTTTTGGTGGGCTTTGGGCAATAGGGGTGGCACCAGGCCCTGGATGATCAAGGCAGAGGAATGTTGCTCCTGGGTGCGGGGAAGGTGGGGCAGGCAGGGCAGAGGGGTGTTGTTCCGGGTGTGGTGCTGGTGGGAGAGGCCAGGCTCCCGTGGATTAGTTTGCCTATCAAAGAGACTCTGCTTTGCTGTCTCCTAAGTGTGGGCCAGCCCTGGGAGGGGCAGTCTCTCCAGCCAGGAAGGTTTTTAAGATGTCAAAAAATGATAATACAGTTAATCCGTGAACAACAGGGGTTTGAACTGCATGGGTCCACTTGGACGTGGGTTTTTCCCATCAATACAGTATAGTTCTGTCGATGTGTTTTCTCTTCCTTATTTTCTTAGTGACATTTTCTCTTCTCTAGTTTCCATTGTGAGAATACACTACGTGACACACATAACAGACAAAATAAGTGTTAATCAACTGTTATGTTATTGGTAAGCTTTCTGGCCAACGGTAGGCTATAGTAGTTTGGGGGGTCAGAGTTTATACAGGGGTTTTCAGCTGCACAGGTGTCCATGACCAAACCCTGCGTCGCTCGGGGGGCAGCTACACACTGAGGATTGAGTGCAGGCAGCTCCTGGTGACGCTGGCGTTGTCCTGACGACTCCGTCGGCCCGCGGTGAAGTGCTAGGTCCAAGGTCACAGCCTGGCTGACAGGGACACAGCAGCCAGGCCACCAGCGTGGAAACACGCCATTCGGGGGGCCCGGCGTGCCTGGCGTAGGGGCTAGAGAGCAGGCCAGTACCGCACCTCGAAGACAGCAGCAGGAGGCCCGGTCCCTGAGTGGGGGGGGTTTCAGGACCCCGAGTAGCGGGCACCTCCCAGTCTGTGTCTTCCCCGAGCCCTCCCAAAGCAAGCGGTTCACCTAACCACTCCTGCCGGTGACCTGGCTGCCAGTCTCGCCTTGCGTGCTTTGGTTGGAATTCAAGATCTGGTGGATGAAAAAGCCAGCATTCAAGAAACTGGGAAGAATGGAAGTCTTGGAGTAGACATGATAGGTTACCCTGTATGTCCCCAGGATAGTAAAGCAACTTTCTGAAGGGCCCGGGAGCCTCGTTGGGCCGAGCGCTGGTCCCTCAGCGTGTTCGGTGAGGCCAGGAGCCCCGGAGCCACCTGGCCCCGTGTCCTGCTGTGTCCCCTGGTGGGAACGGTTGTGGCTGGGACGGCTTTTCTGGCAGCTGACACAGTTAAGTCACGTTAGACACTCTGCAAGGAAAAAATGAGGACAAAGTTTGGAATTTTTTGAAGTGTCGAAGTTTTGGGAGAAAATGAATATTCAGTGTCCATGTACCCTCAGACGGGAGAGCACATCAGACTGGTCATGGCGTACGTTCTGATCATGTCCCCTCAGGGCACCATTTCTGGCTTTATTTTGAGCACTGTTTCCCTCTTAATTAAAACTTCAGAGAGCTTGCCAACTCTTGCTTAAATCTTAGCTAATTAGTCTTTCATTTATGATTCTATCGTGAAGCTCATTAAGAAACTTTCATTCATTAAATTAGCATATTATCCTGAACTTTCCTTTCTTATGAAGTGATGGAGTGCTATTATCAATTTATTCCTAGATTATAGACAATGGCTAAATACCTTGCCTCATTATTGGAATAAAATGGAAAAAATAAAATATTGAATATTGTTAAGAAAGCTATAGATAGGCTGGCAGGTACTCAGCAGGCGTTTAAACATGGTCTTTCCTGAAAAGATAGAACTCAAAATACCCGATTCCAAGAATACAGTAACCCTGAGAAATTTTAACTTAAAGTGTCTGTTGAAACCTGGTACACCCAAGTCAGGATGGAAACGGGTGACGTGACCCAGGATTTGCTGAGGTGGGGGATGTCTCCGTTCTCGGGTGCATGCGTATGTGTCGTCTGCATGCCTTGCTCAGGCTTCGGTGAGGAGGGGGCGCGGTCACTCAGCCACTAAGCTTCTAGTAATGTCCTTTTCTGGTCTTGTTTTCGATAGCAGTTTTCATTTAAATATGGTTTCAAAAACCCGGCGACTCTCAATTCTAGATAATCACCTTTCCACTTGTACGTCTGTTCACTGGAAACTACATAAAGGTGTGTCATAAACCGATTGTTCTGTGTTTTCCTCTCAAAATTTTTAAAGTTATGTGTCACTCTTGTGAGGTCCCTTCCATTTTTGTGTACTTTCAGGGAGTGTGGGGTCCCATTGGTTTTACTCCTTCCCAGTAACATCACCCTTTAAAGTACGGCCTCGGAACTGATTTCCTTCCTCATGTCCCCAGATGAGCTCACACGTGTTTTATTTGTCTCTCCAAGTCCCGCTTTTCCAAAGCCAGTGCTTTGTAGGGGTGCTAACAGAGGCTTTGACATACTTGCCTGGAGAATCACAAATGAGTAAACATTTCTACTCTCCCCCATTACAAGCTCTCCAGATGTACACTGTGTATTTAGTAGAAATAGGTGCATAGCTTCACTCCCATTTTAAGTGAAGTCTACTATGTACACAAATCTTGAGGCGAATATATATTACTTTGTGATCAGACTGAACTTTTTTAAGGAGAACCATTCCTGATACTGATGGGATGCTTTTTCTGTACCACATATTTTTAATCTTCTTCTGCTTTTTTCAGAATGGGATATTACACAAGAAAAAGTTCCTATCTCCATTTCTTCTTTCAGAAGAGCCTTTTCGAATGGAACATGCAGCCAGTTTGCCCCAGTCGGGAGATGGCCCGGCCGGCCAGTGTGGGAGCTCGCTCACCTGCTTAGCCTCCAGACACTTGCTGCACGCTGCACAGCATCCCAGGCCTCTGCTCTAACAGCACGGAACACAGGAAACCATGCTTGCAACACCAACACTAACACTTTGTTAAAAATGGAGCATACTCTCCCTTTTCTATACTCAACTGTTAGATTTTAAAGCAGTAATGGCATTGAAGAAGATTTAATGTTTGTAGTGAGTAAACACACACACACACACACACAAGGTCAAAAGCTGCATTTCAACAAACCAGAAGTGACAAGTGCTTTTTAAAAATGATGCTTTACTGTGTACCAGTATCCTGAAAAACTACTGGTACTTTCTTTTATGTTCTGCTTTTCACATGCATCACTAAGTAGATTTGACCAGTTGGAAAACATGCCTTGATTATAGAATTAAGTCCATATTTGTAGGAAACCATCAAGCAGTTCATAGGGTACATGTTTTATTTGTAACTGTGGGCTCCGAGTAGCAGTGAGAGTTTAAGTGGCTCTAAACCATGTTTTTAGGCCTCAAATAGCTGGCTGTTGCTGTTTCAATCAACTATGAACTCTTTTAGTGCTGTGTGTGAAATACCAGGATGGGTGTCTGTCGTGAGAAAGGGCTCTGGGTCTCGGGCGTGCTGCAGGAGGGTCCCCTGTGAGCGGTGGTCGGAAGTGTGTGAGGAAGAAGTGACATGGGAGGGTGCAGACAGTGGGGTGTGGTGGGTACAGCCACGTCTGTGGCCAGAGGGGCATTTCTGCCCATTTCGAGGTGGGAAATGCTGGGGCTCAGCTCACCTTAACCCAGTGTCCTACCCAGCAGGGGCAGAATGGAACATTCCTCTCTGCTACGTAAGGAGTCACCCACAACTGTTGTTTCTAACCAAAACTCTGGAAACTTCCCTTCCATATATCACTGAGTACCACCAAACATTTCTTGTCAACGCTGTGCAAAACAGGCTGTTTGTCCCCACAGTTCCGGTGGAGTGATGCTCCCAGGCACATGCCTGGAACCCATTCCGCAGAAGGCTGTGGGAACATGCCTCCTCAGCAGGTTGTGTTGGAAACACACTTTGTGCCAGGTTCCATGCTAACAACAATTTTGTAGAACATTCAACCAAACACAAGTGCGTGGGGAATCTTTTATTGCTAGGACCTGGGGTCCTAAATGCTAACGTCATTAGCACGGGCTGCTTTCCTTCACTCAGAGGAGCCCCCTGCCATGGAAGGGGGCCACCCTCCTCCCTGGGAGCCACCAGCTGCGTTCCAGTGGGTTCTCTGAGGAATCATTACCGTGGAGGGAGCCCTTTGGAATTTTGAAACCCAAATTCCCAACTAGAACGGGGCAGTGGGAGTTATTCCTAGTAGGGATGCTGCCCGACAATGTGATGAAACCGGGAGGCTGAGGGTCCCCGTGCCCCCAGCTGTGGTGGGACGGCACTGCCCCCAAGAATCTGGGAGTCCCACGTGCTGGCTCCCAGCGGTCTGGTTTCTGCCGCTCGGCTGCCCGTCACCGCAGAACAGCGCTCTCCCGTTCTGTTGAGTTCTTTCTAAATTTACAAATTCATTTTATTAACCTTTCCCCTCACCTTTTCCAGGATGCTGTTTTGAGATTCATGCCTGTTCCTTATCCACGCTTCCATCGGGACAGAAATATTTATTCATTATGACAGCCTTTTTCCAGTTGAAGCAGAATGCCAGCTAACCCAAACACGCGCGTGTTAGAGCGGGGTTCGGTTCCTAACTGCAGCGCTGAGCTCATACAGGAGCGCTGGAGGGAACGGCCCGTGCTGCCAGCCCCGGGGCCCTGCTCTGTCTGCCCCACTGCACACCGGCCCCGGGGTCAGCTGTGTGACTTGCACGTGGATTGGCCCTATAGGGGGACACTTTGTACCCAGCACCTGAACCCCAGATTCAGAAACTGGTTCACAGTCGGTACTTTACACAGAAACTCAGAGAGATAAGAACATTGGAGGGAAGAGAGACCACTTACAAACCCAGAAGCAAACACCTGACTTCATACCACTCTTCCCAGCCTGGCTCCTGTCCCCGTGCCCATACCTACAGGCATCCCAGGCTGCCGGTCCTCTGATGGGCCAAGCTGGGGGTCCCCTGATGGAAAGTGCAGGGGCCCTTGAAAGATAGTCCTGGGGGTCCTTAGGGGTGAGTTCTGGGGGGTCCCCTGGTGGATGGTCCTGGGGGGACAGTCCTGGGGGGGTCTTCTGATGGATGGTCCTGGGGGTCTCATGGACAGTCCTGGGGGGGGTCCTCTGATGGACATTCCTGGGGTCCTCTAATGGATGGTCCTGGCAGTACTCTGATGGATGGTCCTGGGGTACTTGGGGGACAGTGCCGGGGGCCCTCTGATGGATAATGCTGGGGGGTCCCAGGGGATGGTGCTGGGAAGTCCTCAGGATAGTGCTGGGGGTCCTTGGGACAGTGTTAGGGTGCCCTCACACACATTCCCTTTTCTCTCAGGTGGTAGTGTCAGGCTATGTATTTTACATAAAATCCATTTGTGATTTAAAGTGCCGTGAATAATTCCTCCTTCTCTTTTCTTTGTGAATTGGTTGTAGTGTTTGTGGAAAAAGTGCTGAGGAGGCTTTTCCCTAGTGTTCCCTGTGGCCAAGAAAAGAGTGCACCCGTGACTCCAGCTTCTGACAAACCAGCCGGGAGAGAGACCGCTGAGGAGGTCCCCACTCTGACAGGTGAGGGGCTTGTGGGGGGGTCACCAACGGTTTCCTGGCGACCGTCCTGTCTGCCCTGGGGCAGGCGGCTCTGGCCTGGCTGCTGGGGGTGCTGAGCTCCGGGATCCCTGTCCAGTGCGCTCGGGGAGAGAAGCTGGTGCTGGTGGTGCCTTCATCAGAGACCAGCTCAGGACTTTGCTGGGTGCTTGAGTTCACTCGCAGGCCCTTCTCTGGTCCTAGAGACAACCGCTGACCCCACCGGCCTTGTCCTCTGCTACCGCCACTCTCTCCCAGGCCCTGCTTGGCTCGTGTCCATGCGGCTCAGGCTCCTGACGGCTCCCTTGCTTTCGTCCCTCATCCGTTGGTCCTTGGCAGAGGCCTATGTGAGCTCCTCAAGCAGTAGGATGGTCTGCAGCAGAGCATCATTAGCCCCCCAGCAGCGGGGGTGTCCCGCTGGTGCGGGGCCGCTGCGTGGGAAATGGGGACGCCATGCTGGGCTGGACACTTGTGGGCTGTGCTGTGAGCCCCCATCCTTGGTTCTGTGCCCTCTGGCATGAGCCTGCACTGGCCTTTGTTCGCACGTGACTGTTCCTGGGTGCCGGCCCCGTGGAGTGACCGTGGCAGAAGAGACAGGTTAGCTCCCTAGACGCGCGCATCCGATGACATGCCCTTGGCTTGATCTCAGCAGACAGGCCCAGGAGTCCCACCGCTCTGCTTGCTGCCCCCGAGGCCAGGTCTGTGTGGGCAAGCCTGAGCATGGTGAGGAGATGGCCCTGTGAGTTGTGGCAGCTCGTCTCCGTGCACAGTGCTGGCCCACGAGCAGCCGCACACATGGGGGCAAGTGTTTGCCGTCGGCATGGGGAGGGCTTCAGCTTCAGGGGCTGAGTCCAGTCCATTCCTACACATCACTCACACCCTCTGAAGTGGCCCCTGATCCTCTGGGCCACGTCTTTGCACCAGCGTTTGTGCTCAGTCACTTTGTGTCAACAGGCACCTGTAAATACCGTTGTTGGGCCTGGAGGTGTTAATTAAATGTGAAAATACCATCGCTAAGTTCGGTTCGGAATGTGTTTATGACATGGAAACCGCTGGTTCACAAGGCCCCAAAGCTGTTCTGTTCTGTCCAGGAGGCGCATTGTATGCGTCTGAGGGAGGGTCTCAGTGGGCCTCCGCACACGTTTCATCCTCAGCACCAGGAGCGCTGTCTGCCGGCCTGGCTGTGGTTGGGCAGCAGAGGCACAGACACCCCACCAGTGCGGAGCCTGAGGCCAGGCTCGAGCCAAGGACCTGAGCCGAAATCAAGACTCGGACGCTTAACCCACTGAGCCACCCAGGTGACCCTGATTTTTTTTTTTTCTTAAGATAAAATTCACTTAACCTCAAGTTTACTGTTTTAACCATTTCAAAGCATCCAGTGCAGTGATTTTTAGTATATTTACAAAAGCTACCACTAACTCCAGAACACAGTTATCACTCCAGAAACAAACCCCATGCCCACTAGCAGCACTCCCGTTCCCCGTCCCTACCCTCTGTTCTGTAGGTTTGTCTCTTCTGCACAGTCCACGTACCCGGAATCCTGGGCCCCATGGCCACTCGGCACTGCGTGTTTGGGTCCATCCACATTGTAGCGTCTACGCTCCATTCCTCTTGAACCGTGGGAGATATTCCGTTGGGTGCGTAGAGCACGCTGTGTCTATTCATTGCTCAGTGGATGGCCATTTGGGTGGTTTCTGCTTCTGGGCTGTTATCAGTGATGCTGCCGTGAACATCCAAGAGCAAGTGTGTGTGTGGACATGTGTTTTCACTTGTCCTGGACATGCACCTGGGTGTGTGCTTGCTGGTCCCATGATAGTTCTGAGGGACGGCCACCGTGTTGTCCCTGGTGGCCACCCGACGTGACACCCCCAGCAGGGGCGCGAGGGCTCCAATCTCCCACACCCTTCCCACATCTGTTATTTTCTGTTTTCTTGATGGCGGCTCTCCTAGTGGGTGTGAGGTTGTATCTCACTGTAGTTCTGGTTTTCGTTCTCTTGATGACCGTGCATGGGGAGCGTCTTCTCATGCATGTGTTGGCCATCCGTGTATCCAGAGAAATGTCTGTATGAGCCCTTGTAAGTTGGACTGTTTGTCTTTTGTTGTTGAGTTGTGAGAGTTGGTTATGCTCTGGATACTAGACCCTTACCAGATGTGTGACCTGCAGGTGCTTTCTTCTGTACCGTGGGTTGTCTTTCCGCTTCCTTGATGTGTCCTTGGAAGCACAAAAGATTTCAAGTTTGATTGGGTCTCACATCTATTTTTTTCTTCTGTCTCCTGTGGTTTTGGTGTTATATCCAAGAAACCATCATCAAATCTAAGGTCCCAAATTTTACATCTAGGTTTTGTGGGAGTTTTATAGTTTTACCTCTGATGTTGAAGACATCGATGCCTTCCGGGTTGGCGATTGTACATGGTGTGAGGCCGGGTCCAGATCCAGCCCTTCTCCTGGGCACCCTTGCCCCGTACCGCCCGTGGAGCAGATTGCTCTTCCCATTGAATGGCCTCGGCACCCTTGTCAGAAGTCAGTGGGCTCTAGATGTTTGGATTTATTTTCGGGCTTTCAGTTTATTCCATTTTTCTGTATGTCTGTCCTGTGCCAGGACCACACTGTTTTAATTACAGCTTGATAGTAAGTTTGGAAATCAGGAAGTGAGAGTCTTCCAACTTTGTTCTTTTTCAAGCCTGTTTTAGCTGTCAGGGTCCCTTGCAATTCCACATGAATCTTAGGATCAGCTTATCCACTTCTGGGGGGAAAAAAGGCAATTGGATTTTTTTTAAAGATTTTATTTGACAGAGAGAGAGAGCACAAGCAGGGGGAGAGGGAGAGGCAGGCTTCCCGCTGAGCAGGGAGCCCAATGCGGGACTCGATCCCAGGATCCCGGGATCATGACCTGAGCCGAAGGCAGACGCTTAACCATCTGAGCCACCAGGGTGCCTCAAGGCAATTGGATTTTGATACAAATCGCACTGAATGTACAGAACACTGTGGGGGTGGTTGCCTTCGTAACAATATTCACTTGACCAGTTCATGAATTTACAACAACTTTCTGTTTAAGTCATCTTTGGTTTCTTTCAACAATATTTTGTAGCTTTTACTGTAAATTTTACACTTAAAAAAAGGTTTATTTCCAAGTATTGTATTCATTTTCATACTGTTACAAGTGGAATTACTTTCTTCTTTTGGTTTCTTTTTGGAATGCTCATTGCTGGTGTGTGGAAATAATGTGAATCCTCTGACCTCAGAATAGGCAAATGTTTCCTAAATATGGAAATTCAGGTTTTTTGTGTCTTGATCTCAGATCCTACAACTTTGCCAAATTTATTATCTCTGACAGTTTTGTGTGCATGTGTGCACATGTGTGTCTTCAGCACTTTCTGCATACAAGATCATGTCATCTGTGGGGAGAGATGTTTTACTTCTTCCCGTTCAGTCTGGATGTCTTTTCTTTCTTTCTTTCTTTTTTTCCTTATTTACTTGCTGGAACATCAGTGTACCCTTGAGGGAAAGTGGCAGGGGTGGGAATGCCGGTCTCTTTGCTGGTCTTGGGGAGAGGATCCAGGCTCTCTCTCTGCACAGGATGTTTGCAGTGGGCTTTGCGCACATACCCTTTGTCAGGTCGAAGTTGCCTCCTATTCCTAGTTTGTTGAATGCTTTTTTTTTTTAAACCATGAAAGAGCAACATACTTTTATGAAGCAATATGCCTTGGAAATTTTAAAGGAAAAACATAATTTACAGCTGGAAAAAGAAATCTTGGCTAGAGCAAAACAATGAAATCACAATCATATAGATAAAACTTGCATGAAGCTTCTGTAAATGTTATTTTGAGAATTCCCTTGGAGGCACTCTTAGAGGGGACAGCTTGGTGATCATCAGAGTTGTAGGGGCACCCATATCTTTGTAGGGTTGGAAGAAGGCAGCCCAGATGAAGAAAGGTGCCTTTATCAGTGAGTCCTTGGATGTGCGATTGGGAGAATGCTCTTTGTGGTTAGGACACAGCATGGTAATTATGATAATTATTTAGCCAATTTACTGATGTTTGTTCAGAACTTCACAGAAACCCATTTCCTCTTTCTGGTTTTAAAAGAGTGCTGATAATTCCACTTGTTAAAGACAAGGGTATAATCTGCAGATAGACAAAACAACCAATCTGTATGCATTTGGTAAATTTTTCACTCAGAGGCCCATATCAGACCTTTACTTTTCATTATTGCTCTTATTATTATTTTTCATGGATTCATGGTCTCTGCACATATCTTGAAGTCCTACAAGTAGTCCTGCAGGAATTACCATGACAAGCAGCAGCATGCACCACACAGGTGCCCAGGTCTGCACCCGCTGTCTGGGTGACTGAAGCTTCTCCTGGGCCCGCGAGCTTCTCTGCTGGCTCCTCCTCACGACATGTCTTCCGGTGTCAGTCAGCCACGGTGTCGTGGGCTCGGGACCCACTGTTTGCACTACGATGAATATGTGGAGAGTATTTGCCACTGAGCCACATAATATGTGATGATTCTGTTTCGCACAACTTCTGGTGGAGTGGAGTGGAGGTACTGATGCTTCGCGGAGTTAATAATTTTCTAAATACTCCCGGAGTCTTCCCCTAACCGCCCTTTGGGGCCATGGTCCGAAGCACTGTCGACACAGTCAGACCCTGGGAACTGTGTGGGTCTCGTGGTTTTGTAGCGATCTCCTGTGCCGCACGGACCCCCTCATCTGCAAGCCCAGACCCATCTCTTCCCTTCAAGAGGGTTTGTCTCCTTTGTCGGAGTAGTTTCTTCACAAACGGTTTTGGGGAAATAAATATTTTGGGGACTTTGGATTGTAAAATATCTCGATTCTTGTACTTAAATGCCACGGGATGTAGAACTCTTAGTTAGAACCTGCCTTCCCTTGGGAGCCTGGGTGGCTCAGTCAGTTAAGCATCTGACTTCAGCTCCAGTCATGATCTCAGGGTCCCGGGATCAAGTCCCGCATCAGGCTCCTTGC